GTAAACGGTGGCAAGCTTGGATGAGATTACACTTGCATGGCAAGCAGTCTGAATTAAAGGCCATGACCAAGGGTACTCAGGCTTCAAGCTCCCCAGTAGTAAATAACTGAAAACATTAACTTGAAACAAACAGTGGAATTAAGATACAACGTTGACATGAGTTTTTAAAATGAAAGATCTTAAAGACATGTTGTGGTAGGTCTTTGCGGACGGATTAGTACTTTTTCTATGGAGATGTCGTAGGAGAATGCATGGAGGGAGAGTTTGAGAATTAATTAGGGTTTCTCAGAGGTAGGTTTGCGGAGATCCAAATTTAGAGATCAAAAGAAGCCAAAAAAAAAAAAATGGTAAGACCGTCTTGATTGTGACTAATTTAGGGTTGATAGAGACTTGCTGTCAGGAAAATCAGAGGGAAAAGGCAGATTTAACAAAAGGAAGGGAGGGCAAGATTGTAGCACAAGTGGGGTTAATGGGGGTTTGGAAAGATGGTTGTGAGGAATTTCATGTCAAGGGGTTTTCTTATTTCTAGTGAAATTTAATATTGATGCAACAAAGTGTTCTCTAAGAAGACTACTTGGGAGATTTACGCTCTCAGACCTGTAGGAACCTAGACCAGAATGAAAAAAGACAGATGAGGCAGTAAACTTATTGTTCTCTTCCCCAAACCACAGGGGTAGGGAAGTCACCTGTATGTAATGCCTAAAAGCTAGTCGCTTCTAGGAAAAATCACGACTTTGCGTCAGTTTATAGCACCCTACTATTCGTTTCAACACTGCTCTGAAAAGTTTAAAAAGGTTTCTTTAAATATTTGCTTACAGAAATTTAGAAATTAAATGTGTCTCAATGATTAACTTGGCTTGTAGTAAGAAATTTAAGCTTGAGACTTTCCTCTGCAAAATATAGTATTGTCCACTGAGAAGGAAGAGGTGAGATAAGGGTTCCCTACTAGCTTGTTGTCTGTTAGGAATTCTTTAAGCATGTTCTACGCTGCTTTGAAAGATTTCTCAAAGGGCCAGGTAATTTACTGTTTGCCATAAAGGTCTTCCTAATTGAAATACAAGCTCAATAATGCTTGTTTTAATTTCATTTTTCTAAACCCTTATCCAAGTTTGGACTTGAGGGCCTACATCACGTGTATGGACACATTTATATCCACTCTTTTCCATCTGTGTCTCTGAAGACTGCTCTTTCAAAACAGGTCACTTGGAGGAGACCAGTTGCTCCTTTATCCACCTAGCTGTGACGTTCCAAAGGTTTACTTACCTTCTTAACATCTTCTGCACTTTGTTTCACAGTATATACTACTTTTTCGATATATTCTGCCTCCCCGGAGTTCTGGGCAGCTTTCCGCTTAAGTTCTTCCACGTTTCTCTCTAGCTCGCTGAGGCGCTGGGAGGCATTGAGCAAGGTTTCCTCGGAAGCTGCTGTTTCAGACTCGATCTAAAAGCGTCATCATTCAGCAAGCCATTAATTCAAGAAGTGGTAGCAAGTGCTATGACTACAGTGTAGAGGAAGATTTAAAAAGCTGCTATGAACAAAAGAAATTTCAAGAAAGCTTATATAAAGTGCCCAAGTTTAAAATAGTCTCTGTTCTTTCACTACTTCTGCTGGTCTAGGCTGAAATTTTTGTAAAATTTTTCGTTACTGAACCACCTCCAGGCAGCTTGGTGTGTTGAGAAAGCACTTTATAGTGTTCACAAAGCAGCAGATGTGAGTAGAGGGATATCCACACAACCTTCTGAAGTGTTACGGGTGGAAAAATTGTAACTTCCAGTTTTTTTTCTATCAACTGTAAATGTTAAACTCTAGTAGCATAGTACTTCAGAAACGACATGGAAATCAGGATGTTAAAACACTGAAAAGTTACTATAGGATTGTGAGACGGCATAGGTCTGGGAATGTTATAACTGGAAGCTATAAGTGCTCAAAATTATTTAGGGAAAAAGTATCTTATCTGTGCATTATCTGTGCAACTGGTGAGGGTCCACGTTTGCTCTCATTTCAAAGTAATTAGTAACCGTTGTTTTTAAAGCTAGCCAAAGTAAGCCTGAACCATAACAGAAGAACCAGTTTCACTGAGCACCTAATTTTTCTGAAAAATGATCTTCAAGGCAGGGTCTATTCCACAGAATTACTCTGAATAACAATGTCGTAACTAATGGGTCAGTACATGCATATGCTAGAATTTGTAACAATTTGATTCTTATCTGAGAGTTCACCCATTAGTTAACTTAGAAAACAATTCTTAGGGACTATTCTTACAAGATAACCCTTACGGTTTTAAGTAGGCGAATAGTTCGTGACAAGCTTTCATTAGTGTGGTTTAGGTAAAGGCTCTAATTTTTTTTTTTTTTTTTTTACTGTTAACCTGAAACACTTCTGCCCACCATTATTAACTTGCAACAACAAGCCGGATATCGCACCTATTAACATGTTAACAACACACTGACAAATTTGAAAATCCTAGAGATAGAAAAAACAGTAATTGAAAGGGTTAGAATGTAGTCTGGTGGGAAAACATAATTTTTCTAAACTTGAACACGTAGCCTGAAGGGCGGGCCTTAAATTGCTCATAATGTAAGAAAGTGGCTTGGGAACGGTCCAGCTTCATTCTACTGAGAGTAATGGAATACGGGAGGATGGGCTTTTATCAACTACTGGTAGGGAAAGCAGGCTGAAAAGGCAGTTCCCAAGATTTTAAACATTAGAGGTCGTTGGCTTGAGAAGGGGGATAGCAGCAAGTAATAAGAGCATCTAACTTCAAAGTGTATTCTGAGAACATAAGGAGGGGTTAAACGAGTCATCCGTTTTCTTTACCCAGTTTCATAAAAAATGAACTTTCCTAAGATTGGAAGGAAAAATTTGCCTCTAGAACTGATGAAAGAATAAAACAGAATTAGTTTGCATTACTTTTAAGAGAGAAGTTTTTAGAATAAAGCACTAAATCCACGTGAAAAGTTCTTAGTGTCTCTAGGGTATTTTGCTTATAGATTTCCCATGCATTCTGAACAAAACATTGTTTAGCTGTAAGAGCTCTACTAGGTTCCTCTAAAACTGGGTGTTTGTTAGAAGCAGACATTTTGTGAATGATCACCTCATAAATCTTGAGGCACCGGTCTTACATGCAGTTAGTTGCTTTTGGGCTGCAAAACCTTGCTCTGTTCGTCCTCTCTTTCCAGCCAGAGATGGTCTAAAACTGGATAAGAGTAAGAGTGTGCTTCATACTAAATAAAATCTGTGTGATTCCTTGAAGGAACAGGAAACTCTTTTTATCTTTCTTAGGCTTTCTGTGGGGATGAAAATGAGAGGGGGTTTAATGTTTCTCTTTAGAGTCCTTTTTCTTCCTTGAAAATGACACTTTTAGCACCTTGTGCGATGGGAGTAGTTTAGATTTACTGAAAGGACTCCTTTAGTGTTCAATTGTAAGAATTTTCATAGATATCAGAAAAGAAGTGCATTTGACAGTTAAGAGTATATGCGCCTGTGTTTTCTCCCACGCGTAATAATGATTGCAATCTCTTACTGAAGTTAGCAGGTTCTGGGTTCCTTGGATGTCTTCATCTGCTTGTTTAATTGCCTTCTCTGCTGCAATCTGGGCCTTTTCTGCTTCTTCCAGAGCTTCCTTTACCATGTCTGCAGTGACTTTAACATCTGTTGCACTGTTGCTGAGTAAAAGAATGAGACAGTGTATTATATGTGAACATGAAAAAAGTACTTCCTCGCAGAAGAGAGCATTTCTTTTAAAGAAAAGCCTTCCTGAAATGACCCTGAGAGACTCACGTGGAGAAAAACTTTATTCAATGCTAGATACACAAAGCCCCCCCTAAATGCCATAATACTGTCTTCAGATACCTGGCTCTTTGAGCTTCTTCTAACAACATCTCAGCTCTGGCAATGTCAGCAGCACTCTGCTGTAGAATAACCTCTACTTGAGAAAGGCTTTCAACTCGTTCACGAATATCTTCTGTCAAGTTCTGTAACTGCTGTGGGGTGCTAGGCATTTCCATTTTCAGTACTTCGTTAGCAACTGCTTCAATGCTGTCCAGGTCAGCACTATCCTCTGTTAAAAGCAAAGATATTCCCGTGAAGAGGTGAAAATCATAGATGGTTCACTCATTCAACCACTTACTGGTCATCTACTGTGTGATCAGCATGGTGGGGTTACACCAAGACAAAGGTACTTCCTATTTAAGAGTTTTTAATCTAGGTTGGGGAGATGAGACCTGCACACAGGAACAGTATTGCAGACAGTGCGTACTACTGGAGTTGGTTGTAGGCTGGGGTCGTCAGGTAAAACTGTGGAGGGTGAGGAACTGATCAGGTTTTGAAGGATAACAGGATTTGAGAGAAGAGAGAACATCTCTGGCTGGAGAGGCAGGATGGGCAGAGCAAGTTATGTGGAAGTTGAGTGAAGCGAATGGTTCTGATTGTAGAAAACGATACAGGCCAGGGTAAAAAAGCTGGGTCTTGCTCCTAAAGGGCAATGAAAACTTTCAGTTGAGGTTGAAAAATTAGGTAGGAAAGTACTGTGAATGCAGATGTAAGTGCTGAAATTCCTAATGAATTATCTGGATTCAGGAAACTACAGAAAGGGAGAAAATCCAGTCAGAAGCAAGAGAATCAGGATAGTTGCCTTATCAAAGAAGCCAGGGAGTGTCAAATGTGATGTCAAATGTGAAAAGAGGTCAAAAAAATACCGGAGTTTAAACTTTAAATATGTCATTGCTTTTTTTTCCTTCTTATAAACTGTGAAAGAACAGAACATAAAAATGGAGCCCTGAGGGTTTAAGCACAGGATAATATATGAATATTCCATAAGATACCCTTAGCAAACTGAGAACAAAGCTGATATGCTTCAAATGACAGTACAGAAAGATGAGAAGTGCATGGATCCTAGAACGATGGAGCTATTCTACTATTGAACTTACTGTGTGTTATAATATATACATCCCTTTTTTTGATTAAGTCCATTTCAGTTGAGAGTTTTCTTTAACTTGCAGCCAAAACTATCCTGAGTGGTAACACTCAAACTGTGACCTGCAACATTTGTGAGCTGGACCACAAATCCCAGAGATTTTCGATTTCTGTACAGAACACTTAAGGTATAGAGCTCTGTAACTAACTATAATAGCCTATAAATAATAGGATTACAAAGCTTTAGGGACAATGTCAAAAAAGCTCTACTTTGAATTAAGGTTCTTATGACACGTTATATGTAATCTCTAACACAAATTCCAAATTTAGTTCTCATAGTGTATGTCTGACTTCTTGATTTGTTACGTGGGTATCACATCGGGTGTGTCTGTATCAGCATAAATTAGAGGTTATTTACATATACATTTAAAAGTTTGGAAGTATTTTATTCCCTGCAAGAATTTTTTATCTACAAGGCAGATTTGAATTATGGCCTCTCAAACACTGTTAAAAAACTGTTGGACAGGAAGAAATGTCTAAAAGTAAAATGAAAAAGTTCCTTACGGGTCAAAAAGTTCCTGATTTGCTTGATCAGATTTCTCAGATCCTCATTGCTCTTGTCCACTTTTTCTTTGGTAGCATTGGTTTTCAACAGAACAGCTTGAGCATTCTGTTTTGCCTCATCTGCCCTCAGTTTTGCTTCAGAGACCTATGTATGGGGAATAAAATAAATGGTCCAGAAGATGATGTCGAAAAACTTAAGTATTTGGAGTCATGGCTTTTAGAAACAAACATCTCCCCTTCAACCATACTATATTCTTGTATAGACAAAGTATTCACTATACCAGTTCCTATACAACAGTCTTACATAGCTAGGGCTAGCAATATAAAATGTTTTTCTAGTTGTTTTTAATTCCTCCAAAACATTTGGTGGTGTAGAAGATGTTCCGTTAGTCTTTTTCTCAGGTACCAACCTACATACTTCACAGTTAACAGGAAGTTAATACTTCATGTCACTTCAGAAGAATAAAGGCTCAATTGAAATAACAGCTGGAGGTATTCATAACCCTGGACCCATAGTTAGTACATGGTTATTTCAAATTATTGTGAGAAGCAAGCAGATTCTTAAACCATCTATGAATGAAAACTTCCTCCTCTCTTTCCCTGACCTCACAAAAACTTAGGCCTTTTCGTTTTAGTCAGCATTTGGAATTGACTTGTCCCATTCAGATCCTCCAGTCCATAACGGAAAGGAAACAAACAAAACAGCCCATCCATTGAATTACCGTCTTGGAGAGCCGTTCCACCTCAGCCAGGGCACTCAGGACATCTCGGTCAAAGTCCATGGCTTTCTGCCAGGCGCCGTGTGCGACAGCGACCAGCCCGCCACAGCCGGGCCCCCCACACTGCTTCTGTCCTTCGTCGGTTCTGCAGTTTGGGCCGCCACATTCGGTCTCGGAACAGGAAGCTCCCGGAGGTGTTCCACACGTCTGCAGCGAGCCAAGGAACAAGCACGGGGTGCAGAGTGAGTCCGCTGCAGCCAACAGCTGTGCAGAGCCTGGGTGGCCCCAGAGAGCGTGTAGGTGGTCCTCAGCGAGGGTGCTTGAAAACAGTGTTCAGGATAGAGCGGAGCAAAGAGCTCAGGGCTGAGCTAACCCGCTTAGTTCCAAGGAAACGATGATTTACAGCCCTGCATCAGTACCTTCTGCCCTAATGAACTGCAAGGCTATATGGGTTCTGTGCAGGGTGCAAATGTTATCTGCTCCATCAGGCTGAAGTCAGCCCATATGAAAGCCAAAGAATGTGTCCCGTCCCCTTTCTCCTAACTGGTAGGATTTACCAAAAAAAAAAAAAAAAGTATTGAGAACCTTCTTTAGACCTAGCACCCTTGTTAACTGTTCTGGTGAGAAGGGTGATATAAAAGGCCCGTTATCGGGCCTTTTAGTAATTTCCCATCTAGTAAGGAAGACAGGATCATTCTAGGTAAAACGGCCAAGAATAGGTCAGATGCTGCAAGTGCGAAGGAAAGCAGGCAAAGCAGAGACCACTGAGTATTACTGTAGTTTGGGAAGGAGTACTGGCTGGTGGGATCTGTGCAGGGGAAGTGGGGGAACATTCCACAGGGGAGAGGAAGAGAGAAGACAAAGGTACGGGTATAACTTTCCAAATAACCTCCCAACGGCCCTGCCAGACTCCTCCTTTCTTATCTACCAGAAACTTCCAAAGACCAGGGCTTGGTTGTAGAATATACACAGCAAATTGATAAATTACAAGATTGCTATATGATGGAAAAGGCTGAGCAGGAAGAAAAATTACATTTAGAGCTATCTACCCTTTTGTGGAAAATGGTCACGTTGAAAAGAGGCAAAAGCTATATATACTACAGTGAATAACAGTTAACAGGATACTCCCAAACAAGTACTCCTTTTAATAAGTAAAAGAGTCGTTTTTGAATAAATACAGTCAACTGTTTAACCTAATAGTTTTGTAATAATTATAATCCCATTATATCTCAAAATAATAGTCATTAATGTGTCTGGTTTACAGCACATAAAAAGCTTCAGAAAATAACATTTATTCCGCATGCTGTACAAGAACATGAGCCTTAATCAAGAAGAGATGCTTTCTAAAAGCTATCTGGCAGCACACTAGAAGATCTGTTTTGTTTCAGCAGCCTGGCAGGCTTAAAAAAAAACCCAGCACGGGTCTAACTAAATATACACAAAGACAAGAACCAAAGGTACTTGAAAAACACAAAGGAGCAAAAATTTTTCTACACGGTAAGTGGTGGTATGGACTCTATAAAGGGAACTCTCGCAGGATCATTAACACACGCACAGAGTGGGAGATGGAAGGAGCGTAGGCTGTTCCTAGGCCAGGCCCCTGACGGAAAGCAGGCCCAGGGCAGGGCTCCCGCTCCTGTGGCCAGAGGCACCCGCTGCAGCCCCCCCGCTCCCGAGACACCCTCTGCTGCAGAGCAGACATCCTTTAGCATGCTTGTCTGCTCTTCATTTTAGTTTGGAGAGATTCTGTTTGTGATGACTAGTTTTTAATTAGAATTTATAAGGAAAGAGCCAGTATACCAAAGGAAGAAAGATTTGGCATTTCACGCTCGCCTGTGATGGCTTTGTCTCAGGTGCGATTACACATTGATCTAGGCCTCTTTCTCTATTAGAGAAATGGTGACAGGAGATCTCCTAACTCCCTATTTCCATTAGATGCCATCAAGTTTCCTAAGATAATGAAAATATAACCTTGTAGGCATTGATTAGAAAGCACAGTGTGTTTTTGTCTATTTCGGGGAGGGGGCTGGGGGGTGGGGGGAGAAGGCTGAGAGGGCGGGGGACTGTTACTAAGACAAAATTGTAGCGAAGCCTGAACTCGGCTTCCTAGGAACCCACCTTCCCCCTTGTACTGACCCTCTGTTCTAAGCTAAGAGGGCAGAAGCCTTATAAAATAAAGGTACAGTATATAAAAACATCCTCCTCTCTCAGATGGGTGCTCTTCCGTGAAAAACAATAAGGGAGCAAGAGGAAGAAACAGACTTAGTTTGGCTTTTGTTTTTGGCTTTCTGCCTGATTTTCATTGAACTCGCTACTCAGTTTCATTTGGCTTCAGAGTTACTTTTTAAAAGCTTCCGGGAAATGAATCCACTTCCTAGACTGGTCTTCACTAGGTAAAGTTACTGGGACAAGGGAGCATTTTAACACCCACCCACCCACGAAAAAAAATTCTTTAGCGCCCTTCAGTTTTTTTAAGAAGTCTCTCCCAGAATGATTCTCAATTGCTCCCCTGAGATGGAGTTTGCACTTCAAATCAGAACAAAGTAAAAAATGTCCACAGTATATAAAAAGGATCCAGTTTAGATAAGAAGGCAGTGACTCAATTCAGCAGCCTTGGGATAGTAGTCCTGATTCTGGGTTGTACCACAGAGAAACCTCTAGGAGAGAGGAAGGTTGGAAACCCACACACTGTTGTGTTTAATCTGGCTTGGTCACTGGATACCCCAGACTGTGGGCCAGAGACTGAGCCGCGGAGTTTCCCTCCTGCTGACTCATTTGCAAAGTGGACAATGTTAAAGACAAAGCAGGGTGTTTTTTCTCCTGAAGCATGGCAGCCTTGAGGCCAAACCCTCAAACCTTACCATTTCGGCAGCAGCTGAAAGGTCAAGACTTTGTAGTTTGCCTGCCAGTTCATCCAGAAGGCGGGCCTGCTCCTCCTGTTTTTCCCTGAACTGGGACTCTCGCTCCAACATCAAGTCTTCCACTCTGTCCCGAGTGCGGGCCGACTGCTCCACGGGGCCACTGGAATCTGTGGTGGAGGCGTTCACACGCTCCTCTGCCTCGAGAGACATCTGGAAATACTTGGTGATGCTGTCCAAGGCGCCTAGGGCATGAAATGAAATTGCCCATAGTTAATCCCCTTGTACTCGATCTCCCCATCAAGCAACGGCTGTATTTCGCGTCTAAACTGACCTTATGTGGTTTTGTTTTAAAATTCAAGGAATAAAATCTTTATGAAGAAATGTAACTTTCCTCTCATGATCAATGAATACACTTTGTCCCGTTAGCACCTAACTCTGGCTCTGGAGGATGCCAAACATCTGGATTAGAAAATTAAGTCGATCATGCAGATGTTGTTCCTACACACAGGCAAGCTTCCAGTTCTCTCTAAGTAGCTGGTGTCAGGCAGCCTGTAGATTACATGTCCAGATGATTTTTCCCTTTTCTCACTTAACTATTTCGATCCACTCAAATGGCTAACATTATATACATAAAACAGCTTGACGTGTTTTGGCTTTAAGGATCTAGCCAAAAAAATAAGCAATCATGCATAAAGCAGGATGGATAGGGTGATCTGACACATTTTTAACTTTCTTTTGCTTTGGGGAGGGAAGGTCCTATAATACGGCCTTCGATACCAATAAACGATTTGACAATGTGATTTCCTGACCAAGTAACATTCGTGAATATAAAACGATATGCAGAAGTATCAACTTAATTTCTTAACTTTTTACAAGAGCCCGTTTCCAAGAGAAGCCAAGGAGGTAAACCACTAACTGGAAAAAAAATTTAAAAATCAGAAAACGCATGCCATTCTAATGCAACAACCACTGCTCGCTCCATGCAACCCCTTCTGTGCCCCATGTCCCATGTTTGTAAAATGGGGACTTTAATCCTCATTTGTGCCAGAGTCTCAATGAGAAAAAGCTTAAAAATGATTACAAAGCACTTAATTTTCTTCTGAAAGTGCTCTGTTAAAAGGTTAGACAGGTGGTAAAATCCATTGCCCAGGATTAAGTATTTGCACAAAAAAATGCTCACCCCGAATATCTGAATTTTTGATAAATTCCAGTTGTTCAGCAAGCTCCTTCACTGTGTTATCCAGGCTTTCTGCTTCTGTCTGTAGAGCGTCTAGTTCTCTGGCCGTGCTGTTGTTTTGCGTAGCTGTGTCGGATAAATTTATTTCTACTTGAGCCATCTTTTCTGTAACATCTTTGGTTAGTTTCCTGTAAAGAGGAGGACACATTTACCTAAGGAAAATAAACCAAAGGGAAAACTCGAAGTCTCAATTTTACATTTTCTACTAATACTTTATCTATTACTCTGTAATTTCAGACCGATTCAGTAGTCTGTAATTATCTTTAAGTACTGATTTTATTCTTATCATTAAGAGACTCTGTTAAATCTAATAATTTTTCTTTCTTCAAGACTTTGAAGAAAAACACAGCAGCACCGCTCAGCTGTGTTGTGGCAGATGGACTACAGGAGTGATTCCGAATGTCTGATGTAACGTGAGCACAGATCCAGAGCGTGGAGTACCAGCTCTGTACATAAGCAGCTTCAAGCCCATACAATCCCACAAACTCGAAAGATGTAAGTGACTCCAGTGTACAATTATGCCTCCCAGCCACCCACCAAAAATGCTCTCATGTGAACCTCAGGGATCTCCTTCAAGATGGGACATTCAGAAAGCAAGCCCCACCGCCACCAGGAAGCAACCCAGTGGGAGCAACCCAAAGGAGCTTTTCATACCCGACCCCTTTCAAGCCACGTCTCATCAAAGGAGCCTCCTCCTTCCACCAACAAAGCAACCCTTTCGTTTTTCCTGAGAAAGAAGGTAGTACCAGTAAGAATGGAATATGATAACCATTTAGCTTTCACAATATTTCATTTGGAATCTAAACCCAACTGCATTTTGTTCTGTATCTTCCTGTTTCCAAAGCTGTACTTTAGGCATCTATTTGTAAATTACTCGTATATACAGTGGGCATGTGTGTATGTATCTCAAAGAAAGGAATATTTGAGAAGACCTTACCCCTGGGTATCACCTAACTCAGTATTGTCTTCTCAGGAATATAATTGTACAAAAAACGGGGAAAATGCAGAGATGCTGAAAGGTTGGGGGCCAGTCGAAAAATGATGTTTAAGGCTGAGAGAATACCATGGCCCAACTCAAAGAAAAAGTGCTTAAAAGGATTTGCGGGATAAATTACATTTAGTAAACCTGATGGCTCTTTTCCTGAGGCTAGTTTTTTTTTTTTCAGTGCTTTGCTTTTATTAATCGGTTGATTCACAGAAGGCTTTCATTTCTCCTCAGGTCTCGTACAATGTTATACTTTTACAAAGTCAAATCTCACATTGTATATTTGTAAATAATGCCCCTTTGGATCCTAGACCTTGCGTCCTTGGATACTGTGTTGAAAAAAGATTGATGAAATTGGTGTTCCTGAGGTGATTACAATCTGTCTGATTAGGTGAAGAGTGAAGGTAGGACCAGGGCTGTCTGAGAAGTGTAGTCGCTCTTGTTTTGCCTTAAGGTGCATGGCACCCAGGTCAAGACATCATTTCCTAAATGGGCTTGCACTCAGACCAGGGCCTTCCATGGCTCATTATCGCTACATGTAAGAAGGCTGAGCTGTACCACGGTCTTTTTAATAAGGTTGAGTTCCTCACTAAGTGCATTATGGCCCCACATCAGACATCGCCTAACACCCTGGTCAACCGCATGATCTTGGCCATGAGATCTGAGGCTTGAAATCCAGGGACTAGTTACTTTAAATCTAGGTCTAGGAAGGTACTTGAGCTAATGTCAGCGGTTAGCTTCCTGCTTCTCATACACAGTGCTGAGATGAAAAGGCCATCTCACTTCTTAGAGATGCTGATTAAAAGTCCCATCACACAAAAATGTTACCGTAGTTCTGTCACGATATAATATCGCCTTAATGTATAGGACTTAGCCATGAAACAACCCCCTTGCTCATGCCAAATGGTGAGTCTACAGTAAAAACCCATAGCATTTGGGGAAACACAAATGCTTCATACCCTTTTCCTGTTTTGTCCTTTAGCCTAGACCTTATGCTGTTTTGGGTTGGGGCCGGGGCGGGGTGTCCTTTTTGGCAAAGGGAGTTGGAATGTTTGAGAGCAGGAAAGATGACTGACTGGGAGAAATGGGAGAAAAAAAATGGGAGAAAGTTCAGCATCACTTTGCTCAATTCTCTCTGCTTCCACTGGCAAAATACACACTTTCCAATTAGAGAGATGATTACCCAGAGAAGGGCTAAGAGGAGGAATTTTCATCACAGAGAACTTGTTATAATTAGATGAATGAAGCACTGCTCTAGTGGACCAACAGCTGAGCAGTGGAAATAACCTAGAAATAGGAGTCTTATTTGTGGTAATGGACTTTTCCTGGTAGTAGCAAAACATATAATAACAATTCATACTGTTTTCTGCAATTACCTTACCATTTCATAGATCAGTCCTTTTGTCACTCTGTCAGGGAAAGGTAAATACTATCCTCCCCTCCCCCGCAGGAGAGAAGAGAGAGGCTTAGAAATGCGTGAGTCATTCAAGTTCACAAGCCTAGCAAGTAACCCAGCTGTGACTGCGTTAAGGATCCTTTGTCTCTGAATCCAGCATCCTTGCCATTCTACTGCCCGAGGGTACTGTTTGCAGAGAAGAGTGCTGAATATACGTTCACACATTTTGCACTGCAATCTCTGCAACTCTGGTCCCCAACAGTGAGCCAGCGCCCACTCACCCCCATGCCCAGAGCGGCGACTGCGGGGAAAACAAATGGCCCAGTCACCTGTTTTCACTCACAGCACTAACCACGCCTCCTGGTGGAAGGGCCACGCTGTGGATTCATCGAGCGGAAACAGCATCGTGAGCGGTTACTCTGGTCCGTCAGCTACTTACTCTGCTTCCTCAAAGAGGTTCCCGATGTTCTTCAGCGGCTCGGCGGCTGGGCTCTGGGCCAGGATGTCTCTGATCTCGTTGACTTTCTTCTCCACCGAGTCCACGGTCTCCCGGTAAGGCCCAATCACGCCACTGATCTTCAAGGCCTTGGCTTTCTCCAGGAACTTCCGGGTCCTGTTGGTCAGCTCGGCGATGATCACGTCCCAAAGGGCAAAGCACTGGTGGCAGGGCATGCAGTCGGGGAAGACGCCCGAGTACCCCCGAGTGCACTTGTCACAGCGTGGACCCTCCACACCCTCGACGCAGACACACTGGCCGGTGGACTGGTCACACTGCGGCGTCTCGATGCCCCTGGGGTCGCAGTCACAGGCTAGAAGGGAGACGGCAGTGCTGGCTGAGCTACTAGAGCCCCAACCTCAGCGACTTGGCAGTTAGAATCCTCAGTCACCGTTACAATGGGAAGGTTTGTAAATGGTCCACGACAGTTTACCAACGGTTTGCAAAGAGACTGCAACTGCTTCCTCCAGAACGCACGTTATCTCAACCCTGGCTAATCACGTCTTAACTATAATAGTGATGATGGTTTTTTTTTAAGTGAACACCATTGTACAGATGGTTTACGTGCATCATCTCATTTAAGCCTCAACATAACCCTACAGGAACCAGGTGTTACAATCATCAGTTTTATGGGTGTGGAAACTGAGGTTTAGAGAGGCTCCATGACTGCCAAGCCTTCCAGCAAGGAAATGGCCAAGCCAGGATTCTGTCTCAGCACTTGGCAGGGTCCAGAGCCTGTGCTCTTAAGCTCTGTCCTGCCTTTGCCTCCCTCTTTTTTTGACCCGTCTGCAGATCCTCCCAGGACAGACAATTCAGGTGACAGCCTGGTGACATGAGGCCTCTGGCCTGAGATACAGCAGTAATGAGCAACACACCAACATCCCTCTACCTGGTCACAAAGCACAACAGTGAATGCTTGATGAAATGCAATAAAGTTGATAAAAAGAAAACGAAATCAGGGCAGAAGTCTCAGGAATTCCAAGTATCCGATTTAAAAGGCTTTCAACTCAGTATCCTCTAACTCAGGCTTTCAACTCAGTAACATCTAACTCGTGGGTGGGTGTCTGCCATTGTGATAACCACCCCTAGCCCTAAGAGCAGAGGCTCATAAAACATCTGAAGTGATAGGAAAGGCCTTGGGAGCCATTCAGTCCCAACCTCTCACTGGCCCAACAGGGTGGGCACCTTAGGCAGAACCAAATGGTACAGGGTGAAATCTGCGTTCTTGGCCAACGGCCTGTGGCTGAGATTACCCATCACGATGCCTATGCCTTTGAACCCTGGCTCAGAGTCCCAAAGCTCAGGTGACTAACTTGGTTTTATATCAACACTTGACATTTCACAGTATCTGTACAGTGTTTGAATAACAAAAGGTCTGTACACACATCTTATTGCTGGCCTTAAATCCTTTCTGGGAAAAGGTGGGGATAAAAACAAAAACAAAAAGATCCTATTTCCCTAACTAGATTGTGGACTCCAAGGGCAAAGGTACACCTGTAACCATTTCTCCATTCTCAGCTCTGAGCACAAGGTCAACTTGCAAACTGGAGTTCAACCGTCTTTCCCAAACGAGCCTTTAACCTCGCTTTTGATACAGGTATGCAAGAGACGTCCATACACCCCTACAAAAGAAAATAATCCTCCTAAGACGCAATGTCAACTGTGGCAAAGCGTAACAGAATCATCCTCTCCGAGGTAGCTTTGCACCCCAGTGCTCACAGCAGCACTATTTACAATAGCCAAGACACGGAAGCAACCTAGTGTCCATCAACAGAGGAATGGATAAAGATATGGTGTATAACACACACACACACACAAAAGGATAAAGAAGATATGGTGTGTACGTACGTGTACACACACACACACACACACACACACACACACAATATTACCCAGCCATCAAAGAAGAATGAAATAATGCCATTTGCAGCAACATGGATGGACCTAGAGATTATCATTCCAAGTGAAGGAAGTCAAAGACAAATATATGATATTGCTTATATGTGGAATCTAAAATAAAAAATGATACTGATGAACTTACTTACAGAACACATAAACCCTGAGACATAGAAAACAAACTTACGGTCACCAAAGGAGAAAGGTGAGGGAAGGGAGGGATAAATTAGGAGTTTGGGGTTAACATATATACACTACTATGTATAAAATAGATAAACAACAAGGACCTACTGTGCAGCATAGGGAACTACACAATATTTTGTAATAACCTATAGGGGGAAAGAATCTGAAAAAATATATAACGATCACTGTGCTGTACATCTGAAACTAACACAACACTGTAATTAAAAACAAACAAAAACAAACAAAAAACCCCTTCTTGAGTCAATAGGTATGATTGCCTCTGAAAGACTTTCTAATAAAACATCTTCTAGAACCAGTTTCACCGATGGTCCTGAGAAACAAAACGCCTCTATCCTCCAAAGCCAGAAAGACGTGTTTGTGGCTTGGACCGTTCACCTGAACATCCTCACACCTTGCCTTGTATTGTTTAGCTTTTCCTGGCCTTTGTTTGCCAACTACACTCCACAGTCTCAAGCGGCATGTTTGAGTAGCACAGCGTTGTAATAAGAGCGCAGGCTGCCTGGTGGTGAATCCTGCCTTCCCCGCACCCAGCTATGCGGCCCTGGGGAGGACAGAAACTGAGTCATGGCTTTCCGCGTAAAAGGGGTAATGATTATACCTAGCTCCTCCTAGGATTGCTTTCAGGATGAAATAACTCTAAAATATTCAGAGAAGTGTCTGGTCCAGAGTAAGCACTCAATAAATGTTTTTATTCTTATCATTCTATGTCCAAGTGTCTGGTGGTTCCTGCCCAGAGTGTTGCTTGATCATATTTCCATGGGAAAAAAGCTGTCATGGCCTTACGTTTGTCTTTGCATATTTGCCAATAACATGATTGTTAAACAATTTGAAGTTTGGAATACTCCAGTCTTTAACCTTTAGAATTTAAAATCTATAGCATTTTCCTGGTACCTTAGGTTTTCAAAACAAAACTTCTTTTTCCTTAAGCATTTTGTTTCTTTCCAGGCATGTTTCATTTTCCTGTGTTCTTTGGGGCATTCTCATGAATCGGGAAGCAGCTTAGGTGAGCTGTGGATAACTGTCTTCCCTAGACCATTAATTAGTTCTAGGAGATGTTCCCAGAAATGAGAGTTCCATGATCAAGCAGGTTCGGGAAATTCTACATCCTCCTCTTGAAGGTTCAAAACAAACAGCATATTAAACTCATAGGAGTTCTGCAGGAAAAACCCTGTTTCACTTTTTTTTTTTTTTTTTTTTTTTTTACCCAGTCATATCCCAGACTCATTGGACTGTGGGATCTTTCTCTAGTGGAATACCTAATGACACCCCAGAAAAAGAACGGGAAAGGCTTGGGGAAACCACGGCCTTCATCAGTTTCTACAATCAGGAGGATGGGAAGAACTTCAGACTTTAGGAATGAATTTCCATATCATCTTATAAAATTTAGCCATCTTCCAAAAAGCTGTGAGTTACCTGGGTCATCTAGGTCCTAGCCTCTCAAACTCCGGCACGCATCAGAATCACGTGCAGGACTCATTTAACACATTTCCACCCCACCCCCAGAACTGGAACCAGTGAGGTCTGAGGATTTGTATTTCTAGCAGTTGCCAGGAGATGCTGACGCTGAGGGCTGCTACACCCCATTTTGGGGAGTACTGACTGTTATCTTCCCAGCTGTTCTCCTCCCTTTTGCCTGTTAAGTGTGTATGTGTGTGTGGAGTGAGCAGTCATGAGCCTCAAGTTAAGCCATGTAAGTTGATGCACAGACCTCAGGACCTGTGCAAGTGGGGGGGCCTTTGTGATGCCATGTTAAGTGAATCAGACTGTCCCGCTCCTGTCCCGCAGGCCCCAGCAGGTAGCCCTGTTTGGGGCCTCAGTGGCCCAGCAGAT